AAACTTAATAGAAGGTTCTATCTATAGTCTTGATCTTTGAATGAGAAATGACCTCCTTTTATTTTGCAGGAAAACACCCTGTCCCAGCTCTAGAAACTCCTATAGAATAAAGGCAGCCAACATGTATTGAGTGATATCCCACGACAGATCCTGTTTCAGGTGCTCTACTTGTAATAACAGTTTAACACTTACATTGTCCTGTGGCGCAGTTGCTATAATTAGTTCCAGTTCACAAATGATGAAAACAATGCACAGGAAGGTTAAGTAGCTTGTCCAAGGAAGAGAAGGAAAAGGGAGATTGAAACAGGAGGGAGGCAAGGTGATATTGACCAAGACTTCCACTCTCACACGCTGAGTCTTTCCTTGGTTCCCTCTTCATCTTCATTGTAGATACAGGTGATCATCCTAACCAATGGCAGCCCTGTCAATAAAATCTTCTTTCAAGGGTCTTTGTTAAAGGGGATAGCTGAACTTCACATTGTCCCCACATTCTCTCCCTGGAAGTGCTGTGGTCCCGCTGATGGGTCCCTAAATTCAGCGTTCCCTCACCTCCAAGATCCCAGAGGGCATCTAAGCACTCATGGCCCAGTTGGCAATGCCACTCATGTGCTCCTTGGCCCTTCCTCAGACACAGTCTGCACTACGATGGGTGTGGGTCCCCATCCCTGCCTCCAGCTGGGTGAGGGACGGGGAATTCTGCAGGGCAGAAAGCAGTCTGTCTCCTTGCCCTTGCAGTGGGGGGCTGACCCTAACCCCTACCCAGAGAGGAGGATCTGCTGTAACATGGGGAAAGGTCAGAGTTGTTATGTGACTTAAGACTCCTGAGAGGCGGTTTGGACGCCATAATAAAATATTAGGCCTAAATTATGTTCCTAAATTTGTCACTTAAAAAAACAAACACACGAATGTGAAAATGTTCATTTAAGACTTTAAAAATAAATCTGCATATGGTTTTGCTTGTTCATCCAGATGTTCATAAAGCACAAAATTATTTTTCTTTACAAGGAACATAACTGTATTTTGGTATAGGTGGTAGACTGAGTAATGGTCCCCTAAAAATTGTGCCTCCTAATCCCTAGAACCTGTGAATATACCATACTTGCACAGTAAAAGGGACTTTGCCAGCTGTGATTGAGGTCAAGGTCTTGAGATGTGGAGATTATTCTGGACTATCAGGGTGATCCCAGTGTAATACAAACATCCTGGTGAGTGAAAGAGAGAAGCAGAATGAGATACCCTCAGGAATGGCAGCGTGAGAAGGGCTCAATCCACCCGCTGCTGTTGGCTGAGAAGATGGCTGGAAAGGGCCACAATAAAGGAATACTCCAGAAACTAGGAACAGCAAGGAGACAGCCTTTCTCCTCAGACCTCCAAGAAGGAACGCAACCTGTGCATGCCTTGATTTTTAGCCCACTGAAACTGATTTTAGACTTTTGACCTTGAGAACTGTAAGATAACTTTATATTTTTTACTTAATGTTGTTTTAAGTGACCATGTTTATGGTAATTTGTTACAGCAGCAAGTTATATTTGTTATAAGCAAGCAGGAAACTAATACAGTGTATTTCAGCATTACAGAGTCCACATTAGAGTCCTTCCTACCAATGTTGGGAAGAACAAAGGATTTCAGCATGTTGCTATGAACAATATTTTGTAGATATCAAAGTTAATCTATAGACAGCAACATTAAGAAAGAAAAACTGGAAAATTTATGAAGTGTGAGTTTCAAAGAGGGGGGTGGTGGGGGTTGGGGGTTGAGAGTAGAATGCAAAGTTCCAGAATGTCCTACAGTAAATTCCGATTCATCCAGAATCACTGAAAACTGGGGATTAGAATAAGAATGAGACAGAATACATGAATTGCAAAGTAGAAGAATAGAACAGCATATCCCTTAACAGGAAAATGGTTCTAAATTTAATTTAATCTCATTGGTGATTTGGAAGTCACTTTGCAATGCTGCAATTTTTTTCTCTCTACCAGCATGAATATTAATCATCAGGATGCGGTACCATAGAAAACAATTTAGAAAATTTGAGCTTTCCATTTGCAGACTTCTTAAAAACTGAGTACATAAGTATTTATTACGGAATCTGTGTCCTTCCGGTTATGACCTGGTAGCTTACTGTGGGCCTGTGAGTGGACCCAGCTACTTTACAGAGAAGAAAATTCCTCGTCAGGCTGAATGCTCCTTCAATTCTAGAATCACTTTTTACGTTCCATGTTGGACATGGAAGAAGTCAGCAGAGGTTCATTCAGCAAGTGCTGACTGGTACCTCCTGCACACGCTCTGCAGTGTCCCCACTCTCCCTGAAGCTGGATTGCACAGCACAGGGAGAGTCTATTTCCCTCCCTAGACTATCGATTCCTAGTGCCAGCTACTTAGTAGGTGCTTCACCCCAGGTGCAGAATGAATGCATTGCTCTCCTGAAGCCCATGTGGTCTGGAGGGTCCTCCCTGCCTGGAGTCAACATCTTCATCAATACTGGCCACCAAACTACTAACCAGGGACAGCCAGGAGAACTGTGCTAAGATGCTAGACAGAATATGTCATAGTGGCTGTGCCTTTTTCTTAGATCCCAATCAGGGAGCAATCCTCTCCAGAAGGAGAAAGTCCTCGTCTCTCTCACTGCGCTGAAGCAGAGAACCCCAGGGGAACACAGCTGTCCCGGGTAAAAAGGATGGACAAGCCCCGGATGGTCTGGCTCAGTGTTTAGAGCACCAGCCTGTGGACCAAAGGGTCTTGGGTTTGATTCCTGGTCAAGGGCACGTGCCCAGTTTGCAGGTTGAATACCTGGCCCCGACCAGGGCTGTTTGCCAATGTGTCTCTCTCACATCCATGTTTCTCTCTCTCTCTCTCCCCCCCTCCCTCCCTCCCTTCCACTCTATCTAAAAATCAATGGGAAAATATCATTGGGTGAGGATTAACCAAAAAAAGAGCCACAGAAATAAATGCTCATTGCCTTTGGCCCAGTAATTGCATTTCTGGGAATTTTTTCTACAGGAATAATCCTAAATATAGAAAAAGCTTCATGCACAAGAATTACTTGTTAATTTGTTTTCAAAATTATAATATTATGTGTAACAATGAAAACTGGAAACAACCTAAATACCCAACAGTAAGGGAAAATCAATTATATTACAGTGTATGAGTATTAGGCACCTTTGAAAATATCTTTATTAAAAATTTTTATAACATGAGAAATGTTTCTGTTACTATGTTAAGTGAAAATGGCAAGATACAAAATTTTGTGTATGTTATGAAATCGACATTTTTAAATGCATAGAAATGGGACTAGGAGGATGTATTAAGAAATTATTAGCAGTGATTCTCTTTGTGGGCAGAATGGGATTATAGAGAATGTGTCTTTTTCTTTTATATTTGTCCACACTGCCCATATTTTTACAGTAGACATATTTTTTATGCATTTGTCCTTGGAGGAGGGGAGAAATCCTTTATTTTTGTTTACGATCCCTGTCTCTGAGTGGTTAATTTAACACAACTTATTGAGACAGTGCTCTGCGTGAGGGAAAAGCCACCGGTGACCCAGCAGCAAGGAGAGCACCAACCAGCAGCAGATTGCGGACCGTTTCCTGACACGGGCGATGCTGTGGGTTCCTGCTCCCCCAGCCCTGCGCTGTGTGTGGGTTCGGTCCCACTGGCCCAGGGGCAGACCCAGGCCTCAGTAACAGGATCGGATCTCTTGGTTTCTGTGAGCGGGTGTCCTGGGTTCCTGGAAAGCAAGTGCCATCCCCCACCCCCCATCCACGCAGCAGCCGCCTCCTTTCCGCCTCCTTGTGTTCCCCCCGCCTCCCACCCTCCCGGAGCTCTGCCCGCCCCGCCCCGCTGTCCCAGGGCTGCAGGTCTCCCTCTGAACCCGGCTGTCCTGGCTTGATTGCTGGCTCCTGTGATGAGCCCCCAGGAAGCCAAGTGCCCACTCTCTTGGACCTGCTGTCTGCAGCCAGATGCTTCCTTACTGTGCCCACTCGTCTGCCAAGATGGCGAGCAACTGCCAGCCCTGCCCGGTGCCACCCGCCCCCTGGTCCTTCTGCCTGCCTGTGGCCGAGGCTTTCCTGGTCCTCGCCCTGTCTCAGTGTCCTTAGGTTTGTGTCTGGGCCCCGCTCACGGCTGATCGGGCTGTCATTGCCATGACCACAGCTTCCTGGTTCCTTTCCACCTTTCCTCTGGGGTCCCACAAGGAAAATGTGGTCAACGCCACGGTCCCGCTCCTGTTCTGCTCAGGACACTCACTCTGGGTGAGTGACAGGGAAATAAAATGGAGCGCCTCCTGTTGAAACGATGGAGGCCTCCATTCTACATTTGTATCTCTGATGAGACAGAACCTGGACTAGAGATCCCTCCCCTCACTCAAGAGTCTAATAAAGCTGTCAATGGACGATGGTGGTGATGATGGGCTTTTCTAATGGCTGGTGCTAAGCATCGAACAGGGAGAATCACGTCTAATCTTGAAATAACCCCACAACATGAGTAGGTATTGTTGGCAGTTCCGTTTCACAGGTGAGGGCACTGAAGCTCACTGGGGTGAACCAGGTCAAAGTCACAGAGGTAGTGACCGAAAGAGGCAAGATTTAAACCCAGGCCTCGGTCTGACCATTAAATTACCACTGCAGGGGCGATAACCCCAAACACGTGTCATTGCATTGAGGGAGATGCCACAGTGAACATGACCACCCAAAGACTGCATGTCCATCTTTAGGGTGGCCGTCACCCCAAAGCCCGAGGTGACTTATGCCAGGCAAGAAAGGGGGCCCAGAATTGCCAGACTTCCTGAGTTTTCAAGAGAAGCCAACCAATCTGCATTCTGACGTGCCGTCTCCCTGTTTACTGATATAGGTTTGATGTTCTCAAAAATACTGGGTAGGCCACATCGGTGCCCAGATGGGCCACCAGCTCACAACTTTTGCAAGAAGCTATACTGCACACCTGCCAATTCTTACTTGTGACTCTCGCTCGCCTCCTTGGGAAGGGCCAGGGCTACGCACCTGCACAATCTCGAGCATTTCTGCCTTGCTGATGTAACCGTTTCCATCCAGGTCATACATGCTGAAGGCCCATTTCAGCTTCTGCTCCAGCTTGCCTCTCGATGTCACACTCAGGGCTATGATGAATTCTCTGAAGTCTATTGTCCCATCTCCGTTGGCATCGAAGGTGCGGAAGACATGCTCTGCAAATTTGGAAGCATCCCCGTAAGGGAAAAAGTTCCCGTAAATTTTCTTAAACTCTTCCATTGACAAATGTCCACTGGGGCAGTCTCTCAAGAAGCCCTTATACCATTCCTGGATCTCATGCTCCGTGAAGTCGGTGCTCTCCAGCAAGTCCTGCATGACCTCCGGGCGCAGCTTGCTGTTCTGCTTTCCCATCCTGGCAGCAAGGATTCGGCTGCAGACAGAAAAGAGTGAATATACTTTTTAGACTTGTTCTTTAGAGGCACATTTTATAATCTGTGATTGTCCCTTTGGGAAAAAGAATGAACTCTATTTTAGTCTAACAACATTGTCTAGGTTTTCCAACTATATAGCCAGCCAAACAAAACGATAGAAAGACAAGCAGGCAAACCATGTAGAGCAGAAATCCCACAGACTGGAAACTGCTCTCTCTTTTACACGGAGCCAACCTGCAAAGAAGAGATGCATAATGAAAGGGAGAAAATGAGAGAGAACTGGCTGTGTAGTTCTGCCTTATCTATTTGCAAGAGGTCATGACTGCCTTTAAGAAGACAGGTTCTGCTTGGCCAGGTGGCTCAGTTGGTTAAAGTGTCATCCCGTACACCAAAAGTTTGTGGGTTCAATGCCTGGTCAGGGCGTGTACGGGAGGCAACCGATCGATGTTTATCTCTCACATTGATGTCTCTCTCTTTCAATCAATGAAAACAAATCCTTATTGAGAGCAAAAGAAATCATTTACCATGTTTCATTGCTAGAATATTTACAAGTAGAGTGCAGCTTGAGTACCTTCTGAACATTATAAATACAGACATGAGTAAGGAAAATAAAAGCCTACCTAATTCCATTAAAGCTACCAAGCTAGGTTAGTTATTAAATTCACAAAGTCAGGTCACTGTCAACATAGGGCTTAGATGTAAAAGATGATGCTTCATTAAGTTGTTCATGTCTTATAATTGTGGCTTGTGGAATAGGTCTAACTTTCCTTTTTAAAATACATATTCCTCCCTATTTTCTAATCCTAACAGTAGCACACACCCACAGTATGATAGTGAAGCATCGCAGTGATGCATAGAGAAAAAGGTCAGCATCATTTTCTGTCTTACTACTGACAGATAACTCCCGATGGAATTTGGGGGTGTCCTTCCAGAGGTTTTGAAAGCATACTTATCTAAATGTGTTATTAATATATGTTTTAATGCATTAATATGTTAAAAACCAAGAATATATATCATACACCTTTTAGTTACATATTTTTAAACTTAATATAGTATGAAGAATAAAGGCAACTCTTATTAGATGGTAAAATAGCAGTAATTACTGTCTTCCCATTCAACACAGCTGTTCAACATTTATTGCGCACTATATACCAGGCATGCTTCTGGCACTGTGGGTGCAAAGGAAAGTAAGACCTGTCCCCTCCTCTGTAAGCGACACCCAGTGGAGCCTCTACAGGGTGGTGGTGGCAGGGAGGGGACAATGCCGTGGATCGGAAATGGATGTCGTGCCGTGAAAGCACACAGAAAGGACACGCAAACCACACGGAGGCAATCCGGAGAGCCTTCTTGGAGGAGGTATTATCTGAGCTTAGTTCCTGTTTCTAAAGTTTTATGACTTAAGTGTAGTCAAGGTAAACTCTTTTTCATAAACAGGCTCTGCACTTCTATTTATCATATATTGGAAAAAAAACGAAAGTAAGGCTTGGAAAATTATAGAATAAATACGAGACAGCACATCTTTGCTCTCATCGTGGTTTGCCACTTCCTGGGAGATTTCACACTGTACACTTGCTTGTGTCTGCCTCCCTCCCGGCGCAGAGTTTGCCCCTTGAGACAGAGTTTCCTCTGGGGTCAGTCTCTCTAGGGCCCACGACAAATAACATTTGGTTAATTAAGGAAGGACAGATAAATACTTACTACATGAAAATATGGAATAATCTCCTTGGAAAGGTGTTTTTCTGACACAAAAATGAGGCCCTGGTATTCACAATGCTATTTGACACCCTACTGCTACCTGGTAGTTAAATAACAATGGCACAAAACTAGGACAAATAATCCAAAAATGTATAAGGAACCACAAAGGATTCGGAAGAGCCACAGCAGTCTTGACAAAGAAGAACAAAGTGGAAGGTATCACGTTACCTGATATCAAACTGCACTACAAAGTCATTGTAATCAAAACAGTATGGTTTTGCATATAACAGACACACAGATCAGCGGAACAGAAGAGAGAGCCCAGAAATCAACCCACACCTATACGGTCAATTATTATTTGACAAAAGAGGCAAGAACATAAGTGGAGTAAAGACAGTCTATTCAATAAATGGTGCTGGGAAATTTGGACATATATATGCAAAGAAGAAAAAAGAAACTAGACCACCTTCTTACACCATATATAAGAATAAGTTCAAAATGGATTAAAGACTTAAATGTAAGACTCAAAACCATAAAATTCCTAAGAGAAACATAGGCAGTAAAATCTTCAGACATTTCTCAGATTCTCAATATTCTTTTTTTCTGATATATTTCCTTAGGCAAAGGAAACAAAAGAAAAAATAAACAAATGGGACTACATCAAACTAAAGTTTTTGCACAGCAGAGGAAATCATCAATGAGACAGAAAGATAACCTACTGAATGGGAGAATATATTTGCCAATGATACATCTGATAAGGGGCTAATATCCAAAATTTATAAAGAACTTACACAACTCAACACCCAAAACACAAACAATCCAATTAAAAAATGGGGCCTGGCCAGTGTAGCTCAGTGGATTGAGTGTCATCCTATGCACCAAGAGGTCATTGGTTTGATTCCCAGTCAGGGCATAAGCTCTGGTTTAGGGCTCGATCCCTAGTAGGGGGCATGCAGGAGGCAGCCAATTGATATTTCTCTCATCAATGTTTCTCTCTCCCTCTCCTTTCCTTTCTCTCTAAAAATATCAATAAAAAATATATCTTTAAATGGGCAAAGGACCTGAATAGACACTTCTCCAAAGAGGACATACAAATGACCAACAGACATATGAAAAGATGCTCAATATCACTAATCGTCAGAGAAATGCATATTAAAACCACAATGAGATTTCACCTCACACCTGCCAGATGGCTGATCAATAAATCCACAAACAACAAGTGTTGGCAAGGGAAAAGGGAACCTTCATGCACTGTTGGTGGGAATGTAGACTGGTGTAGTCACTATGAAAAACAGTATGGAGTTTCCTCAAAAAATAAAAAAATGGAACTAACTGCCTTATGATCCAGCAATTCCACTTCTGGGACAATATCCAAAGAAACCCAAAACACTAATTCGAAAGAATATATGCACCCCATATTCACTGCAGCGTTATTTACAATAGCCAAGATATGAAAGCAACCCAAGTAGTCATCAATAGATGAGTTGATAAGTGGTGGTACATATATACAATGAAATGTTACTCAGCTGTAAAAAAGAATGAAATCTTACCATTTGTGACAGCATGGACAGACCTAGAGGGTATTATGCTCAGTGAAATAAGTCAGTCAGAGAAAGACAAATACCATACAATTTCCCTTATATGTGGAATCTACAGAACAAAATAAGTGAACAAAATTGAAACAGAGTCATAGACAAAGAGAGCAGACTTATGGTTGCCAGATGGGAGGGGGGTTGGGGGGATGGGTGAAAGGGTGAACAGATTAAGAGGTACAAATTGGTGGTTACAAAACAGTCACAGGGATGAAAAGTACAGCATAGGGAATATAGTCAATAATATTGTAATAACTATGTATGGTACTAGGCAGATACTGGAAATATCAGAGAGGAACACTTTGTAAAGTATATTATGGTCTAACCATTATCCTGTACACCTGAAACCAATACAAAATAATATTGAAAGTAAACTGTAATTGAAAAATAAAAAACAAAACAATTTATCTGGTAGTTAAGACTTGGTCTTGGGAACCCTTCTCCCACCCCAGTTTTTTTTTTTAATTAATTTATTTTTGTTACAGCTGTTTCTCCGTTTCCCCCCATTGACACCCTCCTTTGATTAAGACATCATTATATAAGTTTCCGGTGTACAACAAAATGACCAAACATATATGTATATACTGTGACCCAATCATCACAATAAGTTTAGTTAATATCCATCACCACACACAGTTAAGTTTTTTTCTTGTGATAGAAACTTTTAAGATCTACTCTCTTAGCAAATTCCGAATGGATAATACAGTATTGTTAACTACAGTCACCATGTGGTACATTACATCCCCAGAACTTACTTATCTTGTAACTGGAAGTCTGCACCTTTTGACCACCTTCACCTCCTCCCCCCCCAAGCCTTGGGGTCTCTGATATTGAATTGCCTGTAGAGCTGTCTGTTGCTCTCTCTAAAATAAATTCTTGGAGTACAGCATTTGCATCTCATATGCTCAAACTTCTTTTGGTAATATCCACACACAGTTCAGGAAACGACAAGCAATCCTTATTCATTGCCAAGGTGACGGATTTTGTTTTCAACTCTGCACTGGAGGCCGACCTGGCCCCACTCCGGCTCCCAGGCCGGCTTCCCCAGGGGTCAGGGGGAACAGAGCTCCCTCCTATTAGCAGGACCAACAGCTGCAGGAAGGGGCTTCCTTCCAGAGGTCCCTCTTTACCGGGAATCAGGCAAACATCACATTATGCAAGAATAAAATTCAACTCCCGCTCCAAATGGCGTACAGACTTACACACTGAACCTTCTGATCACTTTCACTCCCCTCTCGTGTTCTTTCTTTACTGAAGTCATAAAAGCCGGGTTAGAGAGGCTGGTTTGTATTAGAAGTTTCAAACTGTCATTTAGTTGCTAAATTGGCAATTTGCCTGAGGCAAGAAATCAGAAACATGAGGTAATACACATACGTGGGTTTACAGAGCTCTGAAACATTGGCTGGAATTTACGAGCAATTCCTAGTTTTCCTTTTGGGGAGTTCTTTGGAATACAGCTCTTTGGTGTGGTGCTCAATCAAATCACCATGATCATCCTTTTCAATACACTGTGGTTCTGTGTGCCCAGCCTTTGGGGGAAACGCTATTCCAGTATTTAAGTCCACTCTCTTACAGAATGATTTATTTCCCTAAGTATATAAAACATTGTTTCTTCAAAAGCAAACTTAAGCTCCTTTTTCCAGTGTTTAAAGAGCACTTTTCATTTATTAGCTGTTTGTGCACTAGAAACAAATGGTCTCAACATTTTGGCT